TTGCATTTTTCAGATTATTATATTTGAAAAAAATGTCATGAAAAAAAATTCATACTCCCAGTTTTCTTAAAGCAGACTAAAACAGAATTTATTTGACTCAAATCAGCTGCAACAGCATCAAAACAAAGAATAAGAGAGGTCATGATGTAACTTCAAGGCAATCCCACCTCAGGATATCACTTACTAATGACTACTGACCAGACAGAATAAATCATCTTTAACCAATTGATTAGTTCAAGCTATTTAAATTAAATGACAGAGCTATAGTGTAAAATTTATCATGAAAAATCAGTACAAAATCAAGGAAAATCAGTACTATAATCGGGGGAAAATCACTTTCTGCCGTACTCGGTTACAGGTAGTGTTGACACACTGAAACGCCTTATCAATGATTTTTCTTTCATTTTCATAAATATTTTGCACGTTGTGTTGTTGTAAATTTATAATCATTGGTTTTCCAGTTTGAATGGTTTTACACTAGTAATTTTTGGGGCCCTTTATAGCTTGCTGTTCGGTGTGAGCCAAGGCTCCGTGTTGAAGAACGTACTTTGACCTATAATGGTTTACTTTTATAAATTTTGACTTGGATGGAGAGTTGTCTCATTGGCACTCATACCACATCTTCTTATATCTACTCACAACGTAATGAAGAATCTAATGTTCCTAGTCGTGTTGTGTAGTATCAAATAGTGAATTATTTTTTTTTAAATCATTGCCTGTCTCAGGAGAACGAGTCCACTCCATAATAGAATAGGAATAAGATCATCTATGTCAATTAAGAGTACAAATGTGTGCTTGATTATAACTGCTGGTTGTCACAAGAGTTGGTAAAATCACTCGAAACTAGGTGAGACATGCGCAGTAGTGGTAGATATGTAGTATGAATATAGAGACTTGAATATTTTAATCAACAAAAAAAAATCCAAACAAAATATCTGTATCATATACCCAAGCGCCTGTGGGAAAAATCGGTCATATTGGTGTATACCTTGTATTGATTATCATTTTTTGCTCTTTAGTATCTATTTAACTTTTCATGTATTGTAGTTTTATAGAAAAAAAAACACGAAAGTTATATATATATATATTTGCAATTTATATAATAGATATATATATACATATGGTGATATATATATACATATGGTGCAACAACATACATCAAGGTATTGTGCCATAGCTTACTATTATATCCGATAATCGTTATATAGTACAAACATTTTCAGTGATTTTTTTCTTCTTCATTTTTTTGCTTTAATATGTGGCAGTGATTTTCATTGAGCAGTTTTGTTTCCTGACACTTTGTTAATCTTTTGTTAGATTTATTTCTTTGTGAATGTCAGATATAATTTATAATTCGTTTATATCATTACCGCAACTGATTTGTTCTGGCGTGCTCGACATGTAGCAAATTAAGAATCATTCAGTTCAAACAGGTCATGGCTAGAGTCGTCTTTTGACTGACTTGGCAACTTTCAGCTAGGTCAGAGTTTTTCTTTACACCATCTTGAAGGTATCAGTGTAACTTTGAGATGAAAAACGTCTATGAAAGCGCCATTCATTTGCTTTGTCATATGCTAAAGGTGATTTTGTGTCTTGAATTGACTCACAATATCATTTATGTTCACTGATCTTTCATCATTGATTATAGTACACCAGTGATACTTTTCTCTCATGTCTTTATTGTGCATTATTTTGTTCTTTCTGTCTTTATTGTCAATTTTTTAGCAAGTGATCATAGTTAAACTGACTTATTTATTTGCGCTACATACTGGAAGAGACAAGCATTAAAAAAAATAGAAAATTTCTGAATTAAGTCTTATACTAGAACATTGTACTGTAGTGTAGGAGTCATTTAGTGTAATCTAACTAAAATATAGATGTCTGATTTCGTTATATGCTCATATATGAACCCCGATGAGTATGCGAGTTACGATAGATCTGAATTGTTATCAGATTGTAGTTAGTGTCAACTTTCATTTTCATTTCAATATTTTTTTTTGCCAAAAAGTGGGAGTGGTGGGGGCTCAGTAAACGCACAGTTTTGAACCCTATATTTAGAATTGCTTCCTTGTCTCACCTTTCCAGCACCTACGGTCAGTGATCGATACTAATATAAACAATAGCCGAGTCTAACTTGACCGGTATACTCAGTAGTCGAAATGGAAGAGCTGGGACTATTATACTAACTAGTATAATAGTCCCATGGAAGAGACACTTGTTTTCTGTAGTTTTTGTTTGATGACCATCAAGAATCTGGATTTTAAATTAACAAAAATGTTGACATTGTACACATGTGAAAGGAGGCTGAAGACAGTAACAACGAGGCAATAAAAATCATTAATGAAAACACATACAACAAGACACGATACAGAAAACTTAAGATTAGCAAGGAGGTTATAACCTCCTTGAGATTAGCAACCCGAACTAAAAAACGGGATGAACTCGACTGTAGTCCAAATAATTATGACATTTTGTACGGCTTTTTGATATTTTTTCTGGACGCCTGCTTATCAAAAATAGCTTTTCTAGACGTCATAATTATTTGGACTAGGCGAACTCATATGATCCGGAAAGGTCAGAAGTTCCTGTTTCACTAGTGACACCTGTATGATCCTGTATCAGCTTTTGAATATGTATAAAAAAAATAATAAACATCTTTATAATGATTATTGTAAATGTGGAAATAAAACCCAGAGGGAGGGAAACAAAGCTAAGTCTTCATATTTTGAAAATAAAATAGAAGAAAATAAAAATAATCCTAAAAATGTTTGGAACCTGTTTAAAAGTATGGGTTACAGTACTAAAAAGAAAGAGAAAAGTAAAGTTGTACTTGATTTAGATAATGAAAACTGTCATGACTCAAATACAGTGGCTAACTATTTTAATAACTTTTTTACAACTATAGCTGATAATTTAGTATCAAAATTACCACCAGTTCCAAAAGTGTTTGATATCGAAACAGACATATTTAAATTTTTTTATAACACTGTTAGGTGTAACGATTTGAGTTTTAAATTAAAACCTGTGACTGAAGAATATATTTTTAAAACAGTTACAACAACTCATTCCAAGTAAAAGTACTGGATTAGATGGAATACCATCAAGGTTTTTAAGAGATGGCTCGAGTATTTCAGAAAAGCCAATTACATATATAGTTAATTTGTCGATAACTTCAGGCATAGTACCTGATGAGATGAAAACAGCTAGAGTGTGTCCTATATATTAGAAAAATAGTAGGCTGGATGTCGGAAATTATCGACCAGTTAGTATTTTAGTAGTTGTTTCTTAAATTGTTGAAAGATCAGTATATTCACAATTTGAGAAATATCTTGTGGAAAATGATCTACTTTATAATTTACAATCTAGTTTCAGATCTACTTATTCCACAGATACATGTCTTATTCATTTGTTAGATCATATTAAAAATGAAACTGCTAAGGGACTCTATATTGGAATGATAATGTTAGATTTGCAAAAAGCCTTTGACACGGTCAACCATCATACATTGTGTAACAAACTACAAATAATGGGTGTCAAATGTACTAAATGGTTTGAATCATATTTATGTAATAGACAACAAAAAAGTAAGTATTAATGGTACTGAATCTGATTTAAGATATATTACACGTGGAGTACCACAAGGGAGTATTTTAGGACCACCATTATTCTTAAATTATGTTAATGACATGTCTATAAGTATAAGTAAAGACTTCAAAATTTTATTATATGCTGACGATAGTACCATACTATATTCTCATAAGAACACAGAAGTTATATCTGAGAAACTGGGTAAGGAACTTGAATCTTGCAGCAAATGGCTGATCGATAATAAATTATCACTTCATTTGGGGAAAACAGAAACTATTCTGTTTGGGTCAAAACGTAAATTGTCTAAAATTCGTAACTTTGACGTAACTTGTAATAATCACACAATTTCATCGCAAAATTGTGTGAAATATTTAGGCCTGCATATTGATAATTCTCTTCCTGGAGAAAATTTTTTAAATAATATTATTCAAAAGATAAATTCAAGATTGAAGTTCCTATACAGACAGGCCAATTGTTTATCAGAACAATCTAGAAAGACTTTAGTTACAGCTCTAATTCAATGTCATTTTGACTATGCCTGTTCTGCATGGTATGCTGGTGTCAGCAAAAAATATAAAGATAAGTTACAAGTATTACAAAACAAATGTGTTAGATTAATAAAAAATACTTGATCATAGATCAAAAGTTGACCATAATGTATTGAATAGTATTGGTTATGTTAATATTGAAAATCGTGTTAAACAATTGAGATTAAACCATGTTCATAATATTTATTACCATCATTGTCCTAATTATATGTATACAAATTTTACAAAGGTAAGACATTTTCATCATCATTTCACACGAAATAGTGAATATAACTTCTGGGTTTCACCAGTAAAGAGTCAACAAAAAGATACATTTTATTTTAATGGCATACAAGATTGGAAAATGTTGCCAAATAATGATAAAAAATAAAGAAAATAAAGGATTTCAAAATTAGCGTCAAAGAGTACTTGACCAAAAGTTATAGTGAGACTTCATCAGACTTCTTTTTATATTATTAAACTTATTTTTTATTTAATGAAGTTTTTATGTCATATTAATTTGTGTGATATAATTTTTTGTATGTCGAAACTATAAGCCGTTTACATGAAAGGACCCCATAGGAAACAAGCTCTAGAGCTTTCATGGGTTATCCCTGATAAAATATCAGCAAATTTTTTCCATGCACTTAAGGATACTACACTCATAAAATGCCATTATATTTTACAAAGCATGTGTTAGTATTGTCTTTATGTATCGTATATATTGAGTATTGTATTAACTCATATGCTTGATATTTTATTGAATAAAATTTTATTATTATATTATTATTATTATTTTGTTATCGTTTACTAATCCGGATTTTTTTAAGTTATCCAAGACCGATTTCTTTCATATAAATTACAAATCTTTGCTAACTTCCTGTTTTGAAAATCCCACAAAAGTTCATCATTTGCAGAGACCTGGATTCAACAGAAAACTTAATATAGATGTGAGTTTACAAAGCCTACCCAAAGGTACTTGTAGACAGGATACCCTATCGATGCCCCTGAGTGGTAGTACCCCGAATGACCCCAGTAGAGAACTCTCTAGAAACGTATCAGTCGACCGGCAAATTTTCAATATCATGTTAAATAACTCAAATGCTGTTTGTCAGTAACAGTAACATATATTCCAAGTAAAAACAATGTTGATAAACGTTTAATAAAAAATGAATCAAAATATAACTTCACAGAGGTACCCAAAGGATATCCTGCCAGTGCCTACAACATACATGTGTACAAGTACCTGTGGCTGTGATCCTACTAGCTAGAAAAGTTGTACAAAGCCTAGTCCAAATAATTATGACGTCTTGAAAGCCTATTTTATTTTTTTGCTCTGAAGCAGGAAAGCGTCAAAGTAAAAAAATGAAAAGCCTTTCAAGACATCATAATTATTTGGACTACGAAGACCAAACACAGGTGCTTGGGTACATAATTTGGATTTTTTTTCCTTGTTTGCACTGAAAATTTAAGTTTCTATTTTTTGAACCAATACTGAGCACTACTAAGCTTGCCTTACCCTTAGGGACTTGACTACAGGTAAGATATATCATATGGGTTCATGCCGATCCAGCCCCAAGTACATTGTAGATGTGGCCCCAGTTGATCCATTCCCAAGTCAATCCATCCCAAGTTGATGCAGCCTACATTTTAAGTCGATCCGTCCCAATCTAAAAAAAAAAATGGAATATCGTTTTTAATGTTTTAAATATTTGTATTTCATGTATATAGAATTCATATCGAATTATATTTTTTTAATGTAAAAAATTTACATTAGAATCTTTTTATCACTTTTAATGAGTAGGGATGATTATGCAGTAGATAGCATTTAATATGCTCAGGGATTCTACTATATAGTTTAGGGCCGCTTAGCGGCCCTTAAATCAGCCAGCAGCCCAAAAATAATTTATAATGTGAACATAAATTCCCAATTCAGAAAAAAAAAAAATTAATATTATAAAAGATGATCCAAATAATTAAATATAATACAATGGTTCAATGCTTACATTTCCTGTTTCTTAGGGTAACAACTTAAGTAAAACTATGGCAACCTTCTACATATTAACAGGGACTTTCTATACTAACGGGACTCGTCTCTATTGATTTTATTGAATTACCAAGCCGCTCGGGTAAAGCTACACCCCAACAATAAACTTAGTTTCGTATCTCTGATATACAAAGCTAGAAGTTATTTGCGTATTTCAAAGCATATTTTAGTGTTAGTATAGAAAGTCCCTGATATTAAACAGCAAGCAACAATCACAAACAAATCTTGTCAATTAAGTACTAAATTTTTTGTACATGTAATTCCTTTTCTGAATTCAACAGTTGGCCAGTCATGCCAGTCCAATTTGAAATCCATTCAAATCAAGGTAAATTTATAAACATGATAAAGATGACCAGTTGTTGAAAAAATTACCCAATGGATGATTTTTTTCAATGGTATATGTTAGCTGTTATATATGTTAAAGGTTATCATAGCTAAGATGCAAGCCTTCAAAAGATAGTGCATCATGTGCAATGATCTTCATGAAACAACTTTTCTGGTTTCAATCCACTAAATGTCAAGCAATCTGGTAATCATATACATGTATATCATAATCAGAAGCCTATCCAGGATTATTCTAAATGTTACAACTCTCTTTACAGCAGTCAGTGTAAAACTAATACATTTTCCGTTTTTACAGGAAAATAAATGTTATTTCGTCTAAGATTTTATGATAAAAAAATTCCCAATTGGGATAAAAATTTCCAATTTGATGGTCAAGGGACCCATTAGAAAACACCTGGAATCATCCCTGATGTTAATAACAATTTTATTAGAAGTCATTATGTTAAACATGTTATAAAAATCAAGAATATTGGGTATATGCATGATTATATTAAAAACATACATAACAGTAGTTAGTGCAATCATTAGTCAACTTAATCAGCAATTTTTCATATTACTTTGATCTTAATATTCTTTTCAACTGGTGTAATTACAAATGGTTAATACATGTACACACAAGATAATCTCCAAGCTTGTGCATTTGTGCACTCAAATTGTTTTCTTTAAAAGTTATAAAAACTGATTGTGAAATATTGTTTGATTTGCCGAATCCCATTCAAAAAAGGTTTAATTAAATGTTGTCATTGATCATCAATACTGTTTCCAAATATTAAAGTATTCCTCCGATCAGCGAAATTTATACAACCTCTTCATTTGCACTAACCCTCAACCAATACTTCAGAAAACTCTCTAACTTTTATAGTAATTATTCATTATCTTATTATGGGGCCAGATGTGCTTGGCGCTGGAACGACTTGGGTCAGATTAACGGGCCGAATCTATTTTGGGCCAGAACGACCTGATACCTATCATAAGTCCGTTAATCCTCTACATGCATTTAAAAAAATGTATACCCAAGGATATACAAGGATATATAGGGGTATACATTTTTTTTTAAATGCACTTTGTCAAATCCCTATGGATAAGGCAAGCTTAGTAGTGTTGAGTATGTGGTATAAAAATAGGAAATTGAAATTTCAGTGCAAACAAGAAAAAAAAAATATTCAAATTCTGTACCAAAGTCCTGTGCAAACATTCACAGGGTACAAATAGATGACAATTTAGTACAGTACATGAATGAAGGAGAGTCTGAATGGGGCGGAAGCAAGTGAACTTGTGAAGTGTTCAATATCATGAATATCCCAACTGTTTCATGATTTTTTTTTTAATGAACAAAGTTATGCAATAAATATTCATTGCCTACAATGTTTTGTTTATATATTTCATATAAAACTATGTTTTTTTTCAAAAACTTTTGTAGTCATTTCTGGTCGGAATTCAATCAACTTGGTATTATAAGAAACAGAAGTGTCACAGGTCTATAATGTTGATGTATTTTGTTGTAATTTCCTAAATTTACTATATATTTCAACCAAATTTATTTGTAAAAAAAATATTGTCATGTTCACAATAGGATAAAACTGGGACATAATATACATGATATATTGACTTACATGTAGTATACAATTCCCAGGATAAAACAACTGCAAAAAAAATATGGATCAACAGATATGTATACTTTAGACAATTCTGTGCCTTCCAATGAAAACTTTCCATTATCAAAAATGTCATAAAAAATATGAAATATGTACATGATGTATACAAGTTAACTTTATTTCAGATAAGGTTTAACTGTGTTTCAAGCTTGTTATCCTCCAGAGTTTAAAAAAAAGATTGTGACTAATAATACATTCCTTACCAGTTTACTTTTTCATGTTTTAAGCCTTAAATAGCAATTTAATTTAAACATCAATTAGCCCTTTTAATTTCATAATTTGAAGGATTAAATGTAACTAGATCATGTATATTTAGGTGTATATTTGCAAGTAATACACTGTCCACACTAGGCATGCTAGGGACTGAATTTGTAGGCAACACAAATCAAAGGATGATAATTGTGTTATTGGGCCACTTACCACACTAACTGTACTAAACTTGACAAAAGGATATATATGAAAATAAGAAGGTGTGGTATAATTGCCAATGAGACAACTCGCCACCAGAGACCAAATGACATAGAAGTTAACAACTATAGGCCAGCCAAAAGCCCTATAACCTTCAACACTGAGCAAAACCCATACCTCATAGTCAGCTATAAAAGGCCACAAAATGACAAATGTAAAACAATTCAAACAAGAAACCTAATGGCCTGATTTAAGTAAAAACAATGAACGATATACCAATATGATATATACATTTGTACAGCAACAAATGACAAATACAAGTTTGTAAGCATTGATCACTTTTTGGTGTCCTGCCTTTAATAGTTTAAACAAAATGACAAAAAAGCAAATTAGACATGTGCAAATTTAAAAATTGTTAAATTTCTCATTGCTACTTGTACATTTAAATATATACTCTTAAAATATACATTTAGAATAAATTTATTTTCTAATTTCAGTTGTGCACATTATGTAATCGATACCTGTACAAAATTCAGACATCTTTAAAGGATAATTGAGAGATGTGAAGTATCATATTAAAGAAAAGCCAGATGGATGGTTTGGTATCCCAGTCAACCTTCTAACTGAAACTACATTTACAAAAGAGATGCATATCTTTAAGGCAGATTCTACAATAATACCTCAGAGTTGTAATAATAGTGTCTAGTGAAAGTCTTTCTATTATCCAGTGTTTTGTCTCAGTGCTTTATCTTATTTAAAAGCTGACCAAACTAGTCATTTAGTAGGCCTGTTAACATTCAACATAAATTAAGCTACCTCATGTAAAATGTAATATGTGCCAAATGGACTTAACATTATCTTCACAAAGAGTAGTCATATAACTTTATATCTCCACAAGATTAGTCATTTAAATATTCAGGCTGTTTCATTATTTTTGTAGTCCACTTTATTATCTTCACAAGATTAGTCATCTAAATATACAAGCTGATTTTTTATTTTTGTAGTCTTAGAAAGCATTAAATATGAATGTGAGGCCCATTGTGTTCGTTGTTGTAGTTGTATGCTGTACAGTTGCAGGATGGATCATTGGACACCATACACTTATTCGAGTGGACAACGAGACTGACCAATCTGAAAATGGACAGGTGTCGGAAAAGACTAGTTCTGTTGAAAAACAGAAAATATTGAAACAGGGAGATAACTCTATACAAAATCAAACATCTTCTATAAAGGGAGATTACTCAAATCAAAATCAACAGTCCTCTGTAAAAGGAGGAATAACAATACAAAATCAAAAATCTTCTGTAAATAATGGAAATACCTTGATGAATACTATTGTAAGTAATGACAAAGTAATTAACAGTATTAAAAACAGTGAGGGAAGAAAAACAAATAAAAAGCCTTTTCTGATATCAGCTATAAAAGCTAAAATGCAGCCTACCATCATGAATAATAAAAACATTCAACAAGCAATAAGAAAAGCTAAACCTGTCGTCACAGATGTAAGTGTTAACAATGGTTTAAAAGTGTTCTCCCACAATGGAAATGATTGGATTCCTGATAACGGCATTTGTCAAACAAAAGATAACTTCATAAAAGCTTCATTGGTTAATTCATGGGGTAATACGCCAATTTATATTCATAGTCCACTTGATGACAAATGGGTCAGTGGGGACCTGATGAAAAGTGGACACTGGGAAGGAAATTTAGTGAATCTAGTGTCACGACTTCTCAATCAAGACAAAGATTTACAGTTTGTAGACTTGGGAGCAAACATAGGAGTATTTGCGCTGTCTATAGCAAAACTGGGAAGGAGGGTGATAGCAGTTGAACCATTGTCGATTAATTTACAAAGATTATGTAAATCAGTGGAATCTGGTGTTTCATTGGATGGCAAGCCATTTTCGGATAAAATCACTATTATACACAATGCTCTATCAGATACGCGTGAAAAAGTAGAGCTCGGGAAAGATTTTCAAAATGTAGGTGGAACATACGTCTTGAAAGATAGTAATGAGAAAAAAGTTCAGGGCAGTTCTGTTTCGGGAAAATACAAAGATGTTGTCATGACAGCAAAATTGGATGATATACTTCAACTTCCGAATTTCGATTTTAAAAAAGTAATTCTTAAAATAGATGTAGAAGGATATGAAACAAAAGTTTTTAATGGTGGACAAACATTTTTTGATACTGTAGATGTTAAAGCAGTTCTTATGGAATGGCGCTGGCATGAAGGAGCACATGATCTACAGCAGCTGCTGGATTTCTTTTTGAAACGAAATTACAAAGCATACAATCCAAAAACTAATCCACTGATTCAACTTCAAACACAAAATGCTCAGAGATGGCCGGGAGATGTCTTGTGGCAAAAGTAATTTGTCAAATAGGGAGGAATGATGTATTTAAATTTTTTTCATTTTTGCAAAAATTGCAACAGGATAGTTTTTCTCAAAAATTAAAAATAGCATTTTAAATTTTGATAGCATTATTTGTATGCAGAATTTATTGAAATCTTGCATTACTTTGTTCATTGTTCAACATTCACAATCATACATGTAAATGGACACAAACATTTCAGTTTTTCCATTGAATATAATTTTCATAAGCCTTGAACTTTGATCAACTCATATACATTCCACTTTCAAGGCCAAAAATAAAATTTAGATTGTTTGATGTTGCCAACCTATATATATAGCTACCCAACTAAAAATCAGCCTTCCTGAAAAATTTTATTGCACAAATTGGTTCAAATTTTTTTTTTAAAAGATTTTTTCCTGCTTTGACATCGTTTTCTTGTCTAAAACATATGTTGTTGGCAAAAAAAAAAAATCCCTACCTACCTACCCAACCCTACAAGGCATGGGTAGGCAACATCAAACAAAGAATTTTTTAAGGGTGGCCCAAATGAAAGCTTCAAAACTTATTGTTATGGTTGGACTATTTCCTTTCAGAAAAATGAAGATCAGTAAGAGTAATTTACTTTTTGGTAGGTTTTCTCACATAGCTTAAGTTATATAACAGTTTCAACAGATTGCTTAATGGTACTTTTTTCATTTGGAAAAACTTACAAGAAAAAGACAAATACAATGTTCTATGAAATAGATCATTCATTCGTGATTGTACACTAAATTTTTTTTTTTGGAACAATCAAATTTTATAAACATGTTTAATTTTGTATGAGAAGCAATTATTTTTCTTCATGACCTAGCTTATTTTCCACCAAATATGTCAAATACATGCATTGACATTTTTCATTTTTTTATGTATTGTATAATTCATTGTTGATTGACATCTTAAGATGACAATTTGTTTACACAGAAAAAGTATGATATTTGGTAGATATTGCATTTATTGTTTTTATTTTAGTGAAGTCATTTATTTTCTATTTTGATTTCTAACATGCATTTTTACACAAATGTACTTTTTCAAATAATTCTGTAAGGCCAGGGTTTTTTAATTTGTTGGTTTACAGATTTTTTATGTGAAAAAGTTGGGTCGGTCGGAAAATAAAAATTCTTACAAGACATTTAAATGAAAATGAAAAAATATATCATTCAGCTTACTTACAATATTTTTGGTATGCTTTTTTTGTCTCCTTTCTTAGTTCCAAATATTATAGCTCAGCTGCTTTCTTAGTTCCAAATATTATAGCTCAGCTGCTTTCTTAGTTCCAAATATTATAGCTCAGCTGCTTTCTTAGTTCCAAATATTATAGCTCAGCTGTTTTAAACATACAATGCATGCAATCATCATATATAAGTTTGTAAAAGTGGAGTACGACCATGGAAAACAGGAAAATAAAATGGTAATTTTACAAACGAAAAAAAACCAATCCTGTTTTTGATATCCGAGTAGATAAACATTTTTGTCAATTTATGAAACAAGAAAATTCCCAATTGTATGTGGATATTTCTTTCTTTTAACTTGAGGTCTTTCCCGTTTGGACGGGTTCATTTCTTCTATGAGATGAAAAATATATCGGAATAATGACAAAAAAAGGAAAACAAAATTATTGTAATGGGATTTTAACATCTGCTTCATTCCGTAAAATTATTTGCTCAAATATTGTTTTAAGGTTAGTTTTGATTGTCTATTTTAGAAACGCAAACTATGGATTATTTTTAGATTTTTAATTTTTTTAGAACATGATATGTAATCATTTCTGATAATATACCATTGAATTTTTGCTATGCAGATATTTTTATTTATATTTTAGGGATAATGTATTTCTTAAGGTTGGTTGGAATAAAAAAGCATGATACGTCATTTTTTTTTCTTTCTGAAAATCCGAAAAATTGGGTTGACGGATCTGTAAACCAACAAATTAAAAAACTCTTGCCTAAGCTCAAGCTTAAAAGTGTACAAACCTGTATATTTTTTCAAAATAATATTGTAAAAACTTATGCTTAGTCATGTGAGACATGTTCTGTTTTTATTTAGAACATATAATTGTTTTATTTTCTACACTTGCTTGATTGATTGTAGTTTACTTAACGTCTCAATTGTGTACAGTTGTATCTGCACACATATGAATTGAATTAAGTTGCTTCTACTATTTTCAGTTTTGATTTTCCTTGTACCATGTGTACCCTGTACCTACATTTGTGAGTGGTTGTTAAAAAATTTATAATTTGTTTATCCTTATGTCTGACCAAAGATTTCTTGACTTGCTTACATTTTTATTTTAACATGTTTCACATGCACATGTTTAAGTATATCACCCACTGTACACCAAGATGTTTTACATCATGCAGATGTATAAAAAGCTTTAAAAAATAAAATTTGTTGTACTTAACATGCTTAAAGTTATATTGTAACTACTTTTGTCAAACATTCACTCAGGTACTATTCAGAATTATTTTATATTCATATATAGATATATATGTATTAATCAAAACTCTAGTTTAAACAGTATTTATTAATGAAAAATTATAACAATGAAAGAGCACAATATTACCCGGTACATAGAATTCAAATATGGGATTTGGAAACTAAATTAGAAAAACTTTTATAAATCCGTCTCTTTAAAACTCTTAATAAGTTATCTATGCACACCTCTGTCTTTATAGTTCTTCCTTATATATATATGCATTTTTGTTGCTGGCTGAAAATAAATACTGTTCAATGCAAAAAAACAAATTTTTTACTTCTGGGAAAAGCTTTTCACAACCCCAAAATACTGTAAATCTACCAAAATGTATTAATTTATTCAAAAATGTCAATTTTTTATCAATTGAAATGAGTAAGTTGTCCTATTTCAGACATGAAACAAAACAAATGTGCACTTCATACACAAACTGTAATGGGTGTCTTATAAAGATTTTTGTCAAGTTTAAATGGGAATAAATGTAGATATTTTATTGGAGATGACTGCATTATTGCATGAACATTCTTTTTAAATATCCAAGCTACACACCCACTGGGAACTTGTCTGTGAAAAAAATTACATACATATACCTCAATATAACTGCTATATTGAGGTATATTCTAGGTGAAAAAAAATCAGAGACAAGTGCCTGTGTATCCGCCTGATGATGTATATGACACCCTTGAACTATAAGTATTATTTTACCTCACAGTATAATTGAATAAAACTATTGGCTAATAAAAGATCACGTGTGAATTAATTTCAGATATTTTTGTCCAAATCCACAGGGAAAAATTCTAACGTCCGTTGAATAACCCTATCATTCACCCATGGTGAATAATCCTATAATTCACCACCGGTGAGGCCAAATGGTACATTCCAGTGAGAAGCCCTTTTATTCACCCCAGTGAGGCCAATATTTGTTTTGTATAACAGTTATGGCCCTATGAGTCAGGAGATATATATCCAAAATTATCAATCCTGCTAAGGGTTGACAATTTTGGATATCCCCCTCCTCAGCGGGCTGTAATTGTATATTAATCTTCATTTGCCAAAAAGTTGAATAGAATTTTTTCCATTAGAACGAGAATAATTATTGAAAAAAAGTTCTTCTGACACAAGTTCATAACATTGATCTAAGGAAGAAATCCACAGGAAAACCAAAGGAAATAAGCTGGCAGTATGTTTTAACTACACACACATTATTACATTTTGTAATCTTATTTTTTTCTATGTTTACATGTAGTTTTGAGTTTTTGACATATTTTATGAAGTTATAAGTCATGTAAGTGTGGTACTGTTAGTAATGCATTTACAACTTTTGTATACTTAATTTATCAAATACAATGTATATTTTACTTAATTAATCAAATACAATGTATATTTTACTTAATTAATCAAATACAATTATATTTTACTTAATCAAATACAATTTATATTTTACTTAATCAAATACAATTTATATTTTACTTAATCAAATACAATATAAAAAAGAAGATGTAGTATGATTGCCAATGAGACAACTCTTCACAAGAGACCAAATGACACAGAAATTAACAACTATAGGTCACAATAGGGCCTTCAACAATGAGCAAAGCCCATACTACATAGTCAGCTATAAAAGGCCCAAAAATGACAAATGTAAAACAATTCAAACGAGAAAACTAACGGCCTAATTTATGTACAAATGTATATTTTACTTAATCAGATACAATATATATTTTATTTAATTAATCCAAGATATTTTACTTAATATTAAATAGATTTTACTTATTACAAATTTTGGTTTGGGTAATATAATAATTTAGATATACCAGCATTATTTATTTATATATATAACATTTATTTTGTCTTTGTGTTATTTTTCATGACAAAATACTCAATATATATATGTATCATGAAATATAGAAATTGATGGATCTATAAGATATTTGTATATGAAATAGTCAAAATGTGTTCACGTATTTGTCCCATGCAACATGAATTGGGTATATGGTTTTTGGTGCATTTTTCTGTTAAAATCAAAATGATGCATAACATCCCATGGTTCATGATTGATTTTACCATAAGTTAAGTCCTATATTTTCTTTATTTTCTTAATTGTTAACCTTTACTTAACTACACTCCTTTGTGGGTGTTGGGTTGTTGTACCAAAAAATTGGCCTACCTATGGTAAGATCTGCTACGAACCAATGGTTTTCAAAATTTACTTATATTTGGTGACAAATATATACAAAAGATGAATAGACATGTATGTAAAATAATTCTATAATGTTGATGTTTTGTTGATTTGAAATAAAAATTACAAAGTATCCAACAAGTGTTGTAATTAAGAAAAATAAAACTAGAGGAACTGGGAACAAAGCTCCCAAAAAGATACACAATTCTCTTGCAATGTCCATGCTTTGGTGATGAAAATCTAAAAAAAATATTGAGATTAAAAACGAAATAGGAGGTGTTCAATGGCTTTATATAAAGTGAAGATTCTTGGAAAATGTCATCAAATTCTGAAACAGGAGTTCAGGAGGAGATAGGTGTATAATTGTGAACTGTGGTGTTCACATGATTTGTTGAAAGAAACCGCAAACAAAAAAAGTGCACAAAAGGTATTTTATGGTTAGAATGTTAGAAAGTTTCAATAAAATGTAATAAGAGGTTAAAAAGAAGTTACAGTTACAAATTGAGTACCCCAAATAAAGCAATGGCGAAATCCTTACTTTAGTATGGGAAACCCCCGCAAATGATTCTGAACAAAAGACAAATTAGGAGGTGCACAATAGCATTGTATGGGTAAATTGTGAGAAAGTTTCAAT